ATAATTGGAATACCAGAAGAAAGGAAAAGAAGCAGAAGAAATATTTGAATTACTGTAGAGCATGTTACAAAATTAAATGGCAGACACCAAAACACAGGCCTGGAAAGTTTAGTATGAAGCAAACTAAATACAAAAGTAACCTGGGCACATCATATTCAAACTAGGAAAACTAGATACTAAGAAAATCTGGAAGGAACCCAGAGGGGGGTGGGAAAAACCTTGAGACGAATAGAATAAGAATTATGACAGACTTCTCATCACGATGCAAGTAAGAAGAGAGTGGAATAAAATATTTAAATATTGAGAGAGAAAATGCTAACCTATAGTTCTATATCCAGTGAAATTATCTTTCAAAAATGTAAGACAGATACTTTCACAGACAAACAAAATCTCAAGGTATTTAGTGCCAGCAGATCTGTCCTGCAAGAAATGATAAAAAGTTCTTCAGGGAGCAGGAAAATGATATAGGTTGAAAACTTGAATGTATATAAAGAAAGAAAAATCATTAAGTAAGAAAATATATGAAGAATGAAATATTTTTAATCATCATTGATCTAAAAGATAACTGCTTAAAATTATAATAGTAATAATATATACTAGATGCTTATAGAGTATGGATAAGTGAGATGAATGACAAGTGTGATAGGGATAGAAGAAAGGATTTGGGAGTACACTGTTATAAGGTACCAGCACTACAAGTGAAGCAATATAGTGCCATTTAAGGGTAGATTTAGATCATTTAAAATGTATATTGCAAACACTTGGATAACCACTAAAATTTTTTTAAAGCATAACTGATTGTTCAGGAAGGATATTAAACAGAATCCTACAAAATGTCAATTAAAATCAGAATAGGCAAAAAAAGGGAAAAAGAAAATAAATGCAATGAGTAGAAAACAATGACAACATAGTGAAAAATCTATGTCAATAGTCACTTTAAATGTAAATGGCATAAATACATCAACTAAGAGACAGAGATTATCAGAGAGGATTAAAAAGTCCATATATATGTATATATATTATATAAAAGAAGACCCAGTTTTGTGTTCTCTTTAAAAAATCATTTTAAAGAATCAGGTAAAAAGGAAAGAAATGGTGAAAGGTAAACCATGTTATCATTAGCCAAAAGGAGTCTGGAGCAGCTATGTTAATTTCAGACAAAACAGATTTCACAACAATGCAAATGATTAGAGATACAAAGGGACATTTCATAATGATTTGTCAGTCAATTCTTTAAGAAAATTTAACAACCCTAAACATATGCACTTAACAGAGTGTCAAACACATAAGGCAAAAGCTGATAGCGTTAAAAGGATAAATAGACAAACCCACTCTTATAGTTGGAAACTTCAACACCCCTCTTTCAGTAATTGCTAGATCAGGCGGGCAGAAAATCAGTATATAGATGTCTGGAAAGACACTATCAAACACTGTCAATCAACTTGATCTAATTAATGTTTATAGAATATACCATTCAACAACAGCAGAATATACATTCTTCTCCAGCTTGCTTGGAACATTCACCATGATAAATCAATTCTCAGTTTCTAATACCTTCTCCAGTAAGCAGAATGAGGGCTCCTTGGCTGATTCTAGGACTAGGGCAGGAAGCATAGAAAATGAGCACAGGACATTTTATAGCTCTAGAAAGGAAGTGCTCACACACGTGCGCGCACACAGTTGTGTATTAAAGGGACATAGGAGGGAATTCAGAGTTATTTTATTGAATATAAAAAAAAAGTATTTTGTGGTATCTTATGGCAAGCAAGAGAAGTTCACTCTGAAAATTGTTATAATTTCTAAAATTAATGCAGAATAAACAATAAGGACTTTATAACCTAAAGTTGATTACCCTATAGTTTATCATACATTATTTAATTAAACTATTAATAAAGTATAAGACATACTATTACAGAATATTTGGGGTATACATGACTAGACATCTTAGTACAAATTAAAATTCTGAAAACACCATCAGAATAACAAGCAATATACTTCTTAAGATTAATTTGAATTATGAAGGAATTGTTTTAGCTGGAGCTGTAGTTGTTTCTTTCTAGCAGTAGATGCCAGTAGAGTTCTTCTTTTTAATAAAATGCAAATACCTAAGTACTTCCATAGCAACAGCTTCCTGGTCACTTTACCATATATAGAAACATTGCTCTGAGGACCAAAGATCCTACTTTCTGTAAGGACTTTGTAACAAATGGAAACACTTTAATTAAAAAAACAAAACAGATTTCAAATGCAGTGTTTTCTCGATACTCATTCAATGAGGCTTACTCACTTTTTTTTTTCTATAGTAATTTTGTTGTAAGGTTTACAGATTTTTAAAAAATAAATTAATCTTAGTGTTTTAGTTAAGAATCTGAAATATCTGTACTAAACTCAAGCAACATTGAATATGTCTGGTTAGACGTGTTAAAAATGGTGAGGCTGAAATGTTAGGATTCATTTGTGCATTGGCAAGAGAATACTGTGAGTGTAATTTGGGGGGAAGTTAATATGTCAGAGATGAGTGATTGAAAGGAATGACTGGAAGCAGAGAAAACAAGTTATTTTAGAAATTCACATTTGCACTAATAAAATCGAAACTCAAAGAATGAATAAAATTTAGTAACTGACTGAATATAGAGAAAAAGGAATTAAATGGCATTAATTCTGTTTAATTTGTTTTTATATCTGAGCAATTTGGTGCTTTTGGATAATTTTCAACTATGGTCCTATCAAATAAAATTAAAATATTTTCAAGTGTTTGATGATTCTACTTAGACCTTTAGTTTGCTAAAAATGAATGGATACATCAACATATATTTATTTGAGTATGTAATACATGCATTGCACTTATGAACTCGAGTAATTTACAGTTTGAAGTATACATATATAAACAGCAAATTTTGACATAAAATTACAAGAACAGTGGAAACAAGAGAGAGCAGTTTATTTTTCTAGGAAGTATGTGGGAAACTTCAGTGAGGAGGTGAGATTTGTGGTGAGTCTTGAGGAAACAGAATTTCTCTCAAGAGTAAGTCAAAGAATTCAGGAATTTTATCTGCTTCTGCCCATAGAGTCAGTCTGTGCTCTGTAGATGTTATTAAAGACTGCAGACTCACTTGTTCAGCGTCTGTTTTGTGTTAAAGCACTGTCAGATGTTAAAACAGGTGATCTGTCATTATATATACATTCCTAAAGAAAGCTACAAGTTTGTTTAGTCTTAGATGTACTGTCATTTATTTGTTTAGATTGATACTAATTTCATTACACAAAACAAAGTATAAACAAAGTATACATAAATGAGCTATTACTTGGCAAAATTCATTAGTCAGTGTTGTGCGTGCGTGTGTGTGTATGTGTGTGTGTGTGTGTGTGTTGTATTGTTTTTATCTGCTTACATTTTTGTTCCTATGTACTCTATTTGTCATTATTCCTATTTATTCTGATTGTCAAGTATCTGGCAGGAAACTTGGACAAGATATTTTTTAGATAGATTTTTTTAAAAAAGGTCCTCCCTCCCTCC